ATAAAAATAAACCACAATGAAATAAAGGCCCAGAGGCCCTCCCAGAGGTGCCCAGCCTCCCAAGGCCCGTCCTGCCCACGCAGTGCCCCTGACCTGGCGGATGCCCAGGCGGTAGGCGAGGATCCGATCCACGGCGTTGGGGTTCATCTGTGTCCACTGCAGGCTGTAGGAATACACCCGGGGCCTGTTCTGCCACAGGGGGTTGTAGGTGTCGTAGTAGAACTCGGGGGCGTAGGCTTTGCCTGGGGGAGGAAAGGACATGGGTTAGGGACACGGGTCAGGGACACAAACAAAATCATGGAAACCTCGCTTTGGGAGCCAAAGGTAGAGACCCAACCCCTGGTGTGCTGAGCCTTCGTTAAATCCACTCCTGGTGGTTTGAGTCTTTGCTAAATGTGTTCTGTCAGAAGCACATTTGGGAATCCTTTGCCCCTCAGAAATCATCAGGAAGAAACAAAACCCTCCAAGCCCAGCTCTGATGTGTTTGTGAGCCCCTGGTGTTTCGAGTCTTTGTTAAATATGTTCTGTCAGAAACACATCTGGGAATTCTTTGCCCCCCTAAAAATCATCAGGAGGAAATGAAACCCTCCAAGCCCACCTTTGAAGTGTCTGTGAGCCAGGCACTGCTTTGCTCTGGCCAGAGATTCATTCCAGCTACACAAGTGTCCTTTCAAGACATGTTTGTGCATTTTAGCAAACACAGAAATTAATGTTTATTGGTTCTGAGTCCCATGATTCTCCTCATTAATCAGTGTTCTATCCTTCATTGGCTAATTTGGTCCCCATTCTTTGGTCCTCTTATCACTCTTCCTCAGAGAGAGAATCTCCAGCACTCAGGCTGTGATGTCTTTGTTAATCCCCTCTGTATCTCCTGGTTACTCCAAGGAGAGAACAGAAAAAAAGGGAAGGGAGAAGGAGAAAGAGGAGAAGAAGAAGGAGAAAGAGGAGGAAGAGAAGGAGAAGAAGGAGGAGAAGAAGGAGAAGGAAAAGGAGAAGAAGAAGGAGAAAGAGGAGAAGGAGAAGAAGGAGGGCCATACATTTAAGATCCCAGATATCCAACCTTCAGCTCCTTCAAGCTTTGTCTACTAAAACCCATCAAAGCCAGTCCAGAGAAACTCCAAGTTTCAGTGGTTTAAAGATCAAACAAACAAGTCTGGTAAAAGAAACCTACCAACTGCTACCATTAATTATAAATTTAGGAAAGTTATATCATTTCCAACACCTCCATCCACGTTTTTAAAGGATTTGTGGCGATGCTTTGCCTTTATCATTCAGTCACTCGGTGGAATTCGCAGCCCAGGTGTGGGCAGGGAAGAGGAAAAATGAAGGGAGCCTCTGGGAGAGACTGGAGCTACACAAGGTGCCTCTGCTCTGATTTTTTCATGCCCAGCTGACTCAAATGGAGACATCAAAGCGACCTGCACGACACTGGGAGACTCTGTGACAGCTGCTGGAGCTGGCACGGATAATATGGAATGACACCCGGGAGCCGGGAGTAGGAGATGGATATTTCCAGCGACTGCTGCTGCCTTCATCACATCTTCTCCTCTGCACCTTCCCACCTGGAATGCACCCAGGCTGTCCTGGATAACCCCCCCAGAGGTGCCCTCTGTTCTCCTGCATTATTCAGCTGAACAGACTGGTTTGTACAAGGCAGGGACAGGACGTCTCACAGGGCACGGTGGGGACACGAGTGGCTCACCAGCCTTTCCAGCCTTTGGAAACAGCAAAAACCCCAAGGATGGTGCCCCAAACCATGGCCTGAATTCTCTACATTTTGACTTCAACCCACAAAGAGGTTTTGCCCAGAGGTGTCCCATCCCTGGGAACATTCAAGGTCAGGATGGGCAGAACTTGGAGCAACTTGGTCTCGTTAAAGATGTCCCTGCCCATGTCAGAGGGACTAGATGGCCTTTAAAGATCTTTTCCAACTCATGATCTTTCATGGAACAGGCTCATCCTGCCCTGTCCCCTTTTGGGAGCAAACCCAAACCAGGCTTTGACTCATTTTGTCGCTCCAAGTACGTAAAAATGAGACAAAACACAGGAAACCAGAATATTTACACGTTACCCTCCTGCAAAGGTCTGAAAGGGGCTTGTAATTAGAGAAAAATCCAAGCAGGGCAAGGTCTTTTCACCTCCCAAAGCTTATATTTCCATCCTTCCATTTCTCCAGGGGTTTTGTCAGTGGGGATAATCAGGAAAGGGACTGAATAACACGGGACACATGGGAAAACATGGTTTACCTGCTCACATGGAGCTGTGAGAGGGAGGTGGATTCGTTAATCACCTCCTTTAATTGAGGTTTGAGACGCCAAAACTAACACTGTATTTAGGCCTTTTCTCCTCCAAACTATCCCTGTCCACAGGTGTAAACAGAGATGGATGGAGAGGCCTCAAAGTGGGACGATTTTCACCCTCAGAAAGACAGTGAGAAGAGGAGGGGGAAAGTGCATTAAAACAAAAAAAAATGCAAAGGGACAAAGGGAAAATCACACAAACAGACACCAACATGGTGGGTGTTGACCAAGCCTTTGTCTCTCCAGCCACGCTTTGCTTTCCAAAGCATGAAAAGCCCCTTTTAGCCAAGAGGTTTTTTTGCCAATTGGTGAAAGAGGAGGTTCAATCAGCCAGGACTGGGGCAGAGGTGGTGTTGTTGAGGCAGCAAACAACAACAACACCCTGAGGGGAAGGAGCAAAGCAGAAGCTCAGCTGTAAAACCTGAGCCGGGAGATAAATGAAAGGAGGCCCAGCGGTGGCTGCGATTTGTTTTCCTTATTTATGCACAGTGGAAATAATGGAGGAAAAGCTCATGCTGGATGCAAATTATCAGCTCTCCCCTTTTCTCCATAATGGCATCCCTGGGGGAGGTCCTGAAAGGATCCATAATTAGACACTTGTCACAACGTGGGCCCTCGAACAACACGGTCACCTCCGGAGCGGCTCGGAGGGCCTGTGAGGAGCGGCATTATCCCAAATCCCTCGGAACACAGGAGGGCTCTGGTGTGAATGGAGATGCTGAAAAATCAACAACACAGAGCTAAGACCTTCCCCTGCAAACCTGAGAAAGCTGGGAAGCGGTTTGGAGCACAGGGAAAGCGGGTGTGGCCTTTGGAGGGGTGGGAGCCAAGAGGGATGTGGGGCAATGTCTGGGCTGGGTGATGTCCCCTGTCCCCACGGCCCTTGGCTCCGACAGCTGTGGCCAGCTCTGAGTCCTGAGGAAGTGGGAAGTTGGTGGAAGTCCTAATCCACGTCCTGGGAAACACTCCCCCAAAACCCAGACTCGACTCCCCTTCCTCTGACAGGAGGTGACACCGAGCTGGCCCTGAGCCAGAGGTAGATAAGGAGGTCAATGGGATCCTGGGGGCATGAGGAAGAACATTCCCAGCAGGTCAGGGAGGGGATCCTGCCCCTCTGCTCAGCCCTGGGAGGCACATCTGGGGTGCTTTGTCCAGCTCTGGGCTCCTCAGGACAGGAAGGAGCTCCTGGAGCAGGTCCAGGGCAGGGTGATGAAGGTGATGAAGGGCCTGGAGCATCTCTGAGGGAGATGGGGCTGTTCAGCCTCCAGAGGGGACACCCAGAGGGGACCTCCCCAAGGGCTGGCAGGGCCTGCAGGGAGGGGGCAGAGGATGGCCCAGGCTCTGCTCGGGGG